TCTCCGAGCTTAAGTTTTCCCAAAGCTCTCAGCCCAGTGCAGAGAGACTGTACGTCCTGTACTTGATCAAGTACTGCACATACAGTCTCTCTGCACTGGGCTGTGAGCTTTGGAAAATATAAAAGATACCCGTGGGAGCATTTNTTAGTCATGAAGCTTCAGACTTAAGTCAGACTCTTCATCTATCTTCATCTAGCTATCCATGCCTACGTACCTAATCTATCGAGATAGACAGACAAACAGACAGATGGGTAGTTGTATACAAACAGACAGACAGACAGGCAGACACAAGCAGGTGATGTTGGGGTAACAAAAACACACAGACAACCACACAATCACAGCACTGTTGGGGCACATGGTGGAGTTGGGGTAACATGAAAACATGCACACACACAGACAGAGAGAGAGAGACACACACACACACACACACACAGAGAGAGAGAGACACACACACACACACACAGACACACACACACACACAGAGAGACACACACACACATAGACACACACACACACACAGAGAGAGACACATACACGCACACAAGCACACAGAGAGAGAGAGACACACACACATAGATACACACACAGAGTCTCACACACACACAGAGTCTCACACACACAGTCACACACACATACACGCACACAGTCACACACACACAGTCTCACACATACATGTACACACACATTGTAGCAAGCTACATTTCCCATAGAATATTTCAACGATTACTCTTGACAATAACTGTTAATTCGTTAATGATTCGACTCGAGTTTTGTACATGTTATGAGTTTCGTCACATGTCTCGAACATGGCGGTTGTTCGCAGCAAACCCTTAGAATACTTCAACGATTACTCTTGACAATAACTGTTATTTCGTTAACGATTCGACCCGAGTTTCGTACATGTTACGAGTTTCGTCACATGTCTCGAATATGGCGGTTGTTCGTAGCAAACCTAATGGGCTGGGGCCCCGGGGCCCCACCGACATTATCCTAGTACTGCAGGACCATGGTAGGGAATGTCCGGCAGGTAGGCCGAGATATAAGCTACCCGGGCGGGGTGCACTGGCCAGACACTGAAGTATCACGAATACTAGGTGTTCGGAGTTCAAGTCTCCGCTGCCGCCATATAGATTGTTTTTGTATACGCGTCTATGCAGACTAGTGCTTGCCTCGGCGAGGACTGTCAACTCAACGCTTCCGGGTAACAGGCTGTTGGGAGTTAGAGATTGATCAACGTCATGACCAACCTAACAGCTGTGAGCACACAGCACGCACCTGCAGGCTTTGTGACTGCAGGGCGGTTCAAGGCGAAATGCATGCCTTTGTGAAATGCCTGGCGTACACTAGTACACGGGCCAAGTACGAACATGACCTCGCGTTTCAAGGGTACAACGTGCGCACGATTTGACTGAGGCCCCACCCCTGGCACTAGCCAGGTTCCCCTCGGAAGTCTGGGAGACCCGGCACGTTGCTCTATGGCGCTTCATATGCTCAAGTGGACGAGGGAGGACAATGATGGTCCACCATGTAACTGCACTTCAAACGATTTACCGTCCATGGGCACGCCAGCTTTTATGTACAACCCCGCACTTGTATGGAACTTGTAACACTACAGACAGACAGAGACAGACCGACAGACAGAGACAGGCAGACAGACAGACAGACAGACAGACAGACAGACGTCCTTGGTGGAGTCCCATGGTGGAGTACTCCTCAGGCTACATCAACGCTTGTGGCACCAGCTCGATTTCTTCTCTCTCTCTGTCTCTTCTCTCTCTTCTCTCTTTCTGTCTGTGTGTGTAAACACTCATGTGGTACACACACACGCCCCCCATGTACACACAAGCAGGCGATGTTGGGGTAACAATAAAACACACAACCACCCACACACAACCTCACACGCACACACATGACTGTTGGGGTACATGGTAGTGTTGGGGTAACATGAAACACACGCAATCACAGTCCTGATGGGGCACATGATGGGGTTGGGGTAACATGAAAACATGCACACACACGGCCACAGAACTATTCGGGTATATGTTGGTGTTGGGGTAACATAAGACACAGAGACACACAGACAGACAGAGACAGAGAGACACAAACTCACACACACAGAGTCACACAGAGTCACACAGAGTCACACACAGTCACACACAGAGGCACAGAGACACACATACATAAACAGAGACACACACAGTCAAACGCACACAAAGACAGACACACACAGTCAAACACACACTAAGACAGAGACACATACATACACACAAAGACAGAGACACACACACACACACACACATACACACATACACACATACACACAGACATACTCACACACATAAACCTGCCTGTCATGCATTATTCTTCTACATCATATCCTGTCAGCCAAACATCTCATTTCCGAATTGGTGGGTGCCCATCAAACAGATAGAGCAGCATCCGAGCAGCATCTCCTACTTCCTGCTCTGCTGCCGCTGAAATGTTGCTGCTGCTTCCGAAACGGAGGATGCTGCCCTGCTGCACCGGAGGCAGGCGGCTATAGCCCATGCTACCATCCCGTCCTTGATGACCACGCCGGTTCTCAGCACGTGTTCCCCACACAAGATGAAACGGGTTGATGCATGCACGCTCGTCACAGATGTGCATCACATCATACTGTGTGTGCGGCAGCACATGTTGTTGTTGAGGTTGCTGCTGGGGTTGTTGCTGCTGCATAGACGGGACAGCAGACACTGGATGATGGTTGGGCAACAGGAGGAATGGAGGAGGTCCACGGAAGGCCCACAAAATGAGCCGGCATGCATTTGTGGAGCTTGTGTACACATCAAGATCCGCACCCCCCTTACTGCAATAAGCGGCCTTGGTGTTCTTGCATTTTACCTGTGTCTTCTTGCCCCGCTGCAGCTGTTGCTTCTGGGGTTTGGTGCCCTGCTTCTTGGGGCGGGCATCCTGCTGCGCCGTCATTGTGTTCTGCTGCTTCTGCCGCTGCTGCTGCTGCTGCTGCTGCTGCTGCTGGCTTCTGGTGTTTGGACGACGGTGGCTGTTGCTCCCAGGAGCAGCAGCAGCCGCCGCCGCCGCCGCCGCCGCCGCAGCTGCAGCCGCAGCAGCCGCCGCAGCCGCCGCAGCCACAGCAGCAGCAGCAGCGCCACCAAACAGCAGGCGTGCCTTCTTGTTTGGGTATTCCTTCCGTCGTGGCATCATCATTGCTGGTGGCTGTCGTGTTGGCGGCTTGATTGTTGTTGTGATGGTTGCAGGCGGGGTGGTGGGCAGGGTTTCAGCATTATGAATGGTGGAGATGATGTGCTGCTGCTGCTGCTGCTGCTGTGGTGGTGGCGGTGGTGGCAGCGACGGTTTGGAGGGGCTTGCTGCTGCTAGTCTACTTTCTGCTCCTACTCCTACTCCTGCTCCTGCTCCTCCGCCTCGATCTTTATCCAGCATCATCTCCTGCTCCTGCTCCTGCTCCTGCTCCTGCTCCTGCTCCTGCTCCTGCTCCTGCTCCTGCTCCTGCTCCTGCTCCTGCTCCTGCTCCTGCTCCTGCTCCTGCTCCTGCTCCTGCTCCTGCTCCTGCTCCTGCTCCTGCTCCTGCTCCTCCTCCACAGCAGTGCTGCTGAAAGCTCTCCACCTCTCAGCCTGAAGTTCCTCCTCCTCCTCCTCCTCCTCCTCCTCCTCCTCCTCCTCCTCCTCCTCCTCCTCCTCCTCGTCCCCCTCCCGCCAGCACTCTATAATAATAATAGCACGTGCCGCCTCCTCACGTACGTTTTGCTTTTCCTGCTTCTTCCTGTCCTGCAGCATGCAGAAAAAAAACGTTATATTATAATATATCTACATTAAGAAAAAACACATTTTCTTGTTTCAACAATTCAACAATGATTGTTATTATTTATAAAACAAAAGTTGAAGAAAGCTTAATACATCGTCTCACGCTGCTGCTGGACACGTCGATTAACATAACGCGTCAGCGATGAACCCAAATCGCAATGATGATGATGCTATGTGCCCGCTTCCGCTCCCGTACTTATACTTATTACTTTTCTTATTACTGCTAATTGTAAAAACTTTGAGCGACTCTTCCCGGCAAAATTTTAATAACGATGACGACGACGACGACGACGTCGAGGATTGACGACCAGACCCCCACCAGCGAGCGCGATCGCATCGCATATTCTTATTCTTATTCTTATCCTTATTCTTGTTCTGATCACAGAGCACAGCAGAGGCGGCACAGTAAAGTTTTAGTGGTGGTGGATCATCGGCGGGTTGGCACGCTTGTGCACGCGGCGAGATTGTTGTTGGTATATATACCGTTAGGGTTATTATTATTACTTTACATATGTGCCAAATCGTGCCAAGTAGATACAGCAGCATTGTTTGATTGTGTTGGTGTAGATATGCATATAGAGAGAGATCGTGTGTCCGACGAGAAGGGAAAAGGGAGCATACACAACAACAACAACAATATGTACAACTACTACGTGGGTGCATCATCGCCACACCGTCGTGCATGCGCGTGTCCCATAATATCCACATACCCGCGGAGCCATCATATGCTGCTGCGTATGTGTA